GCGGAACGGAACGGCGGGCGAGTAGGAGGAGAGGTTCCCGATGATGGAGAGGCAGGTTGAGGGGACGTGAGCGGGTCGGGGCGGGGTGGGGTGGAGGAGCGCTGCCCGTAGACAGATGGTGAGGAATGCACGCTCGGCACTCGGCTGGGCTTTGCGGGCAGGACGCGTGTGCGGCGGCTGGTCCCTTTTCCCGTAGGGGTTGAGGGCTGACTCGTTTCTTGTTTGTGTTAAACTGATGGGCGATAGATTAAGGGCGCAAAGTTTTGCACGTAACGGCTTTATGTAACCGCTGCGGTGTGCCCCGCTCCACCCGACACCTCCAGGGGATACCCGTGCGCGGCCCGTGCGGCGTGCGCGCGGCCTTACACAACGCCCCGTCTATTTTCGCGCTTCCCGTCCTGTACCGCATGGGCCGCATGCCCTCGCTGTCCGGGTCACCACGCGAGCCCACCCCCACAGACTGCCATTGAGCACGGGCAACGCCGCAGTGGCTGGCTCTAGTCACAGGGAACTCATGCTTTTTATTTTAATTTCACTATACCCCTTTTCTCGATTAGTTTCCGCACAAGCTGTTAATTCTATTAATTGTACGGTGGCTACGAAACAATATCTGAGAGAAATCGTTTAAGAAAGTCGTTGTTTAAGATCACAAGCTGAAGCATCGTGATGGATTTAAAGAAAGTCGATGCAGAGAGCAGACCTATAATTAAACGACTGACAAACGAAGAGTGAGGCCCGATCAAACGTCACGAACACTACTTTGTCCATCAGCCGGAGGTCAGAGAGCTCCCCCCTCCATCTGCTCCGCCTCCTTCCGGCATCATCCTGTGTTTCTGTTTCCTTTAATTGCTGTGCATGCATTGGTAGTAAAGCCTTGCATTATTTAAAGTTTGCCCTCCTTGACATCCCTCTGTTACACTAGATGTACCCGATCACGCGCTCACTAACCAACTCTCAAATGTGTAGGTACGATGGGGAAAGAGGACAGTCAATGAAGTTTGAAAGAGCACTGCACTGTAAATAGGAAAGGACAATTTTATATCCAGCGAGGATGTGTCAACAACACATCTCAATCGGACGCAAATTTGTATCTAAAATGGACTGACAAAAATGTATTTGGACTTAGTCGAGGTACAAATCATAGCTAACTTTACAAATTTGCATCCAATTGAGATATTCTTAAGAATACATCTTCGCTGGATAAAAAGTTGCCCTTTCCCATTTAGAGTGTGGGACAAAGATTCTTTTTTTGTTCCCGTTTGTATTCTAACAAAAAGGCTTGTCTGCTAATAATTAAATGATGCTGAGATTTTCAATACTGTACCTGTGCAGTGTGCAGCCACGATTCGGTTAGTAACTCTGAAACAAAAGCTTTCTTGCGGTTGGACTGCATCTACCTGGTCCAGCTGCACCGAGGTCAAACTCGTAACCGGTCCACATGTTAAAATTTCGTGGGCACAATGCATCAACACTGAGAGGCTTTTTCCATTGACAATGATGGCCTTATCCGAAATTCCGAAATGTTCTCTTGGCTCGTATACCTCGAGCGCGTGAATCCCCGTCCCGGGCCCCCTATTTCCAAACTGCTGCTTATCTATGACGTGGTTGCTGGACGCTCCCCGAGGTGCTAGTCGTAGAGGTGATGGTTACGTAAGGGTAATGCGCGCGCCCTGGCGGCTGCTGAGCGCACTAGTCGACTGGCCTGCCGGTTCGTCCGCGGGGACCTGCGCTGCTCTAGGGTGGTGGTGGTGGTGGTGGTGGTGGTTGCCGTGGTGGTGGTGGTGGCGGCGGCGGTGGCTGGGTGGTGGAGGCGGCCGGGCTAGCGGGCGCGGGCTCGCGGCGCAGCGGGGCTCACCCGTGTTGTTGTGCAGGTTGTGGTGGTGGTGGTGGTCTCTTGGTCGACGCGACGCCGCCGCGCAGCTCCGACTCGACGCCGCCTGGTATTTCTTTATCCCGCCCGCAGACTCTCCCGCCATCTTGGCAGCGTCGGCGGCCGACTCGAAGAAGCGCAAGTCGCTGCAGCGCAGCGTCGATCAGCTCATGGACCACGGGGACGGCGCGGGTGACGGCGACGGCGGCGGTGGCGGCAGTGGTGCGACCAAGAAGCGCTCCGTGGGCTCGCTCCTGAGGATCAGCCGCAAGACCAAGCACTCGGACAGTGGCGGTGACTCCACGGCGGCCGATTCCACGCCAGACCTGCAGCAGATTCCAAAGAAGAAGTCTTCGGGCTTCCTGCGCAAGTCCAAGAAGAGCAAGGAGTCCGGGGACGACTCGGACGATAAGCAGCAGGCCGCCGTGAAGAAACCCAGCCGCGCCAAGGCCCTGGTGCGCAAGCTGAGCATGAGCCGCAGCCGAAAGGGCAAGGACGCCGTCCAGGACTCGTCGGACGACGACCGCGCCTCCAACCTGAGCTACGCGAGCTCCACGACGGCCACCGAGTCCGCGGCCGAGCAGTTCGTGACGCCCAGCGCCACGCCGCCGCCCTCGCTCACCCCGCCGCCGCTCACCCCGCCCCCCATGGAGGAGGACGAGGACCAATGGGACGGGGGGCCGCAGGGGCAGGGGGCGGCTGGTGGGGGGGCCGCCACCGGCCCGGGCCCGCGCGCCGGCCTGCGCGCCGCCGGGGAACCTCAGCCAGTCTCTGCCGTCTCGCTGTCCGCTCTGGAGGCCGCTGCGCCGCCCCTGCTTGCCTCGCTGCTCCTTGACGACGACATGAAGGGTGACAGACAGCACGGTGGCGCCATCAAGAAGACGCCCAAGGGCGCCCGGGCGACCAAAGGGCTGGTGGACGAGGAACGGAAGCAGTCCACGCGCGGCCAGCTGCTGTCCATCACGACCCCCGCCCTGCAGAAGCAGCTCAACGGCGCCCAGGCCGGCGGCCCCGCTAGCCCTGCGCGCCCCGCCGGCAGCCCCGCCGGGCCCGCCCCTGCAGCGGAAGCCGCCGCCCCGCCCCCCGCCGCCACCCCCGCCCCTTCCACCGACGAGGTTCAGGTGGTGGCCGAGGTGGGCGGTCTCACCCCCAATGGAGCGAGCACCCAGTCCAGCCCGGAGAAGGCAACGAACGGTGCTGCTGCAGGCGTCATGACCAAGGCCAGCCCCCCGAGCACGCCGCCCTCCAGCGGGGACCTGATGGCGGACGCGCGGAACAAGCTGTCCGCCAGCCTCGGCGTCACCGACTCGGTAGGGAAACATATGACATGTGTGTTCTTGTTGTTGATGATGTTGTGTGCGGTGACGTCACTCGTACAAGCTTATATAAGCCCCCGGCCGCGGGCACCGCGGCTGCGGCCGCCAGGTGATGTGGCATCGCTATCGTCGCTATTCGCACCACGCTGGTCCGAATGACCCGCAGTGTAGGTTGGCGACCTGCTCCGCTTCATCAGTGATTAGGGAGATGCGGGTCCGGTTTGATCGAGCCGCCGTCGCTGCGGCCGGGAGGCAGGGGGTGCGTGTGTCGGCCGCACATGGCGCGCGGGCGGCTGCTTCAGCGCGCTGGAGAGCATCGGGACCACCGACGAACAGCAAATTAATTTATAGGGCCGAGGTTGTTTGGACGTTCCTGATTTCGTGTTTACTCTTTCTTCTGTCCCTGTCCCTGCCCTTCAAATCTTGTTCTCCTTCGTTTTCCTCTTCTCAACCCCCCCCCCCCCCCCTTTCCCTCTCCTTGTCCCTCCTCACCCCTCCGTCCCTCTCCCCTCATCTCCTGGCATCAAGCTTGCTGACCCAGCCCGTCCAGTTCGGGTGGATCAGGTTGTCACTGATTTAATCGATGGAGAGAAGTGAAGCAACCGCTGGCAAGCCGCTGATGAATGCATATGCTCACGTCCTTAAAATATTTTTTTGCTGTTTCCAATATTTTTGCCGTTTTCTCTGTTTTATCGTCTTTGTATCTCCTGCTACCAAACGTTTCCAAATCGACCAGTTTTGAGAAGCACCGGCAGTTTTTTTTTTTTTTTTATACCCGTTTCGGATGGCATACTTTGACGGGAATGGATGCTTTCGTAGTCGACCTCCATCTAATGGTAAAAACACGGTAAATGTGACTACTTATTTTTCAAACTGTCACTTTTCCCCTGTACCCATTAAGTGCCCTGGTTTAGCACGTGTGTCAACTAGGTTGTAAAATTCTCAAATTCTTCAAATTCCTCTGACGCTTGAAGGGCTTTGCCAAGTTTAATCGGTGCCAATGTTATCTTACCCACCTCAATGGGTTGCAAATGCTACATCGCCCTCGCCGCCCGCCCGCCCCTTCCTCTCGACAGAGCAATGAACGTGGCAAACATGCTCCCCCCCCTTTCCCCTCTCCCCTCGGTGCGTCTCGTCTCTCCCCGTCGCCTGCTTTGCTCCCGTAAACAAGCCCGGTGCCCCCCCCTTTCCCCCCGGCCCTACAAGCCCCTCTGAGTCTCTGCGAGCCGCCTAAGTAATGTGTGCTCTCCAATCTCGAACCTCACCTGTACGCAGGCGGTGGATGAGAATCGGATCGCGCCTCGAGACGAAATATAAACATGGACGTGGAATGAAAAGGTTTCCGAGGAACTTCGCCCGATGATACGCACGACTGTGGTCGTGTTGGGCTTAAGATCGTGTCAAATGTTCAAGGTCAAGGTACCCTTCGGACGGTCGACGCACAGAGGCCTTCTTTTGTTCCGTAGTTTGTGGAATCGTCGATGGCTTTCGCGTGGGACGTGGGGCGTGCGCTCCCGCTCGGCGCGGCGGTCGCGTGGTTCGTCCGAGGGGTTGGGCAGAGGGGCCTCGGGACCCCAACTCTCAACTCCACCCCGCCCCGCCGAGCAGCCCAGCCGGCCGGAGGGGTGGCACCCCGCCGACTAAACGGGTTAGCACGGAAGGATGTTGGGCCGCAGCTCGCCGGGGCTTAGTGTACGGGCTCCGCCCCGCACCACAGCTCGGACAAAGAGCGACAAAGGAAGTGCCACACGCCACACCCGCGGGCGGCCCCGTGGCCGCTGCACTCACTGAGACTGGGAGGCGTTAGAGGACACCACATTTTTTGGGGGGGATCCGTCGCCCGGCATGCATGGAGACAAATATTTTGGTCATGCATCGAAAGGGTATCGTTTTGGACAACGCGAATCAATACTAAAATTTCCAAACCTTATGGGGTGCCAAAGGGATTGGAGTCAATAGCAAGCGCAACTCCTGAACCGCCTTTGGGGATTTCTACATGTTCTTTTTCAAAAATAAGAAACCCTATAAGTTGAGTTTATTTCGAATTCACTGCACTAAATTTTTCTCCAAGGACTGAACCAACCAACGTCGTTTGTACGAGAAGATGCACATTTTCTTTGGTGTGTCCAGTCCCGTGTGCCAGTGGGGGTTCTCGGTTCTGCGTGTGTATTACACTTCCAGGTACTTTGTCTCTGTCACTTGTATGGCGGCTCGCCTTTAGTATCGATATCCGGAGCAACTCTTTGGCACTGGACCTGATCTGGCCACGCGGCGGGTATCACGGTACCTCGGTACATTCCAGCCCCTCCCTCTTCCAACCCTTCTCCCTTTCCTCCTCCTCCCTTTCCTCCTCCTCCCTTTCCTCCTCCTCCCTTTCCTCCTCCTCCCTTTCCTCCTCCTCCCTTTCCTCCTCCTCCTCCAACTCTCCTTTCATCCTCTGTGTTCTTCCCTTGCGTTCGTCCGTGGAATGCTCCGAGTGTCCGGTCCTTTTGGAAAACCCCGCGGTGCTAAACTTGTTTGGTTTGTTGCGCCGGTTTGTGGTGGCGTGGTGGCGGCGCCCGGTGCCTGGATGGACACTGCTGCCGGTGGCCGTAACTCGAGTCACGCGGGCTAAAATGTTTCCTACTTTCCACTGGCCGCGCGCGCCCGGTATCAGCGGTTGTTTACCGAGGGCTGCCCGGCGATGGCTCCCACGACGTGGTGACGCCGCTACCCTTGCCCTTTGGCCGTACCCGCGTGTAACCCAAGCGCTGCTTTGCACCACCTGCTAGATCGAAGAGCCTACTCGGCGGCATGAACAAGGCCAGTGAAGTGGAGCCCCCCCCCCCGGCCCCTTTCTCCACTCTCTCCTTCATCTCCAAATCCAACCCCGCCATTCCAAGACGGAGAGTGAGCCGCGCGGATTCGGTTGCAGCAGCAATCTCTCTATCTGCTGGTCGCTGGGGCGATAAGGCTTTCCCTCCCACCCTTGTCTCGCCTCCCCCCTCCCCCTTTCCCCTCCGCTTCCATTTTTCCCACTGTCATCCGCCCTTCCCCTCACAGCTGACCCATTTTCTTTGTTTTTAGTCAGGCTGCTAGGGAAGCGGGCAGGGCGGGGTGGAGGAGCGAGGCGGGGCTTCTGGAGGGCGTGGCCCGAGGTGGGGGCGCCTGCCTCCAGCGCGCCCGAGGCTATGTGCGCGGGGTGCGCGGCGCTGTGGGTGGCGGGGCTGCAGTTGTTGTGGTGCGTACCCGGGATGCAGCACGCCGTCGTCGCCGGGTCCAGGGCGAGCCATCTTCAGGAGGCCCAGAGAGGGGGCCTCC